CATAAATACGATAGAGAAATCAAGATCTAAAGTGTGCATTATGCTAACCCGACCAATCAAGTTGACCATTATTTATATCAGTTAGCAGTAATATACTACGTAAGTTAATGAGAGAGTTATTCATAGGAATTTCAAGAGAGTGAACTTTACCAACTAATGACAATACTATATCAATGCTTATGACAAAACATATAAGCAACGAGACCAAACAAGACGTATATTTGGGTTTATCGGTTCTTAAACCCGCAATCTAACAAAGTCGATTGTGAAGTAATCATCCATAGACAGATTATTCATCAAGTTTAGATATGTTACCAAAATAGCTCTGTGAGCGGGAATTCCAGGCCCATCACCACCAGGTTTAACAATAATATCAGTGTATATTCCTTTTTCAAACGCCGTAACAAAATCACCAAGAAAACCCACTCTATACAATTTCCTTTTTCTGCTATCTGCCATTGCTTTTTGTCCTACACGCCAATAAGAAACAGACATATCATTGTAACATACTACTCTGGTTTCAACGGAAGCTATACTGTTGTGAAACATACTTTTAAAGTAGGAAAGAGTGACTTAGCTTATATCTTTAACCAATCATACATATAGAGATTCAAAATCCTACATATTGAAACCCTAAAAAAATAAGGAAACCCTAAAAATTATGTTGCCAAACCGTTCTTATCCCATTTGATCGAAGTTAAATTGGTGATGCAAGGATCTGTTCCAGAAAATCGCAACTCTCAAACATTGAAATTTTCCATAAATAAAGCATATCAGAGGTTGGACGATCAAACCTTTTTTCACATAGAAATACACAGATATATAGCCTAATATTTTAGGGGAAAAAAGAAGAAGAGAAGAACAAGGCGCAATATAATTGCATATTAATAAACTAATAGCTTATTAATTGCATATTTGCATGTACTACTTGCAAAGAGGCGATTTTGTTTTTTTTTTTTATTCAAAGAGAAGCTTAGATTTTGTTGAAACTCTAAACATAGATTTTAACTCCTTTACTATCTTCTCTTTCTCTTCATGGTTGAATTCTGATCTCAATGTGATTTTCGCTTTGATTAAACACTTCGAGTTTGCAAGGATGTATCTCACGAGTTCTTCCTCATCTTTGCTTCCTCCGTATTCTATCCACTCAAAGATCGCTAGATGGAACGACAAGCATCTAGGAACATAACTAGATTGGTGCCATGACAATGGGATATACCCAGGTAGAAATCCTTTTTCCTGGATCCAAGGACATCAAATTCAAGAAGTAGAATTAAGAACCAGTTTATACATATGTGGGGTGCCATAAGGATATTGACTTATTGTATTGTTACTTACAGATGGATATGGAGCATCCCAAGATTAGGAGAGTTGTTAAGAATTATTTGAAGTAGATCTATCCAGAGATGGTATCTTGGATCTAGTATAATCTGTATAAGTCGAGAGAAGGTAATGCCACTAAAATTCACAGCCTACAGTGACAAAGTTGAAGGACTAAGATAAATATAATGAACAAGAAAGAGTGAGAAGGATATAAAGTTAGAGATAGAAATTGATACCATTGGATCTTTCAAACACAGCCAGAGAGACCTCACCAAGGACATAGAAATTGATACCATTGGATCTTCCGATTTCCACGGAAGTTGTTGGACTTTGCTGGCTGTGTGGTCTGTTGATGATGGTTGTTGTTTCCTCTGTTGTTGTTGAACGTTTGTTGTTGATTTGATGGACGATGTGTTGGCGGCGAGGCTGCAGCGACGGTGAGAGCAGTTGAAGAGGAAGCGTGATCTGTACGCGTTGCAGAGAAGCGTTGAGACTTTTTGAGGCGAGATTCTTCCATCTCGAGCATCGATTTTGCAACAGCAAAAGTAGGAAACGGATATTTGTGTTTGATTACATTGATAATGGAATCAAATTTTTCATTGAGACCGTTTAGCAGGTACATGACTAAGTTTCGTTCATTGACGGGAGCGTCCACGTTGGAAAGCAAATCAGCAAGTGATATGATCTTTTGACAATATTCCTGAATTGTCCGATCTCCAATCTGCTGGGTACGTAGCTCGTTGTCGAGTTGGATGGCCATTGCTTATTTGTTGTTTCTGAATTGGTTTTCAATACGAAGCCAGACATCTCGTGCGGTTCCACCAGTTTCAAAGGAAGAGCGAAAGAGTGGAGGAGCAAGCGTGCCATAGATCCAAAGCTTAACGAGACCATCACGTTTGTGCCAGGCAGCGTCGTTGGCGTTAGCCGGAAGAAGAGTGCCGTCGAGGTAACCAAGGACATCAAACGTGAGACAATGGGTCATAAACAGTTCACGCCAAGCATCGTAATTGTGATCGTCAAGATCCAGGATGAGAGGTATGTGAGATTTGATGTTGGTAACACCAAATGCTCTTTCATGTGTTTGAGGGGCTGGAGGGGCAGCCATTGAAACATATCAGAGAAGAATATTAGAAAGACTAGAAGAGAAACAAAAGAGAGTGATCAATTCATTAACGTGGCTTTATAAAGCCGAAGTGGTTACATAAAATCAGGGATACAAGATATTAATAGAATATCTACAAGGCTAGTAACAGAATATCCCTATATTCTTTCACTGATCCTGTCACTGGAAACAACACAACTTTCGGCTTCTAACGAAGACATAGGGCTAAGAAGTCGCGCGTAATTAAGATTACAGAAATAGACGAGCATAAAAAATGTAGACGAGGATGGGTCGAGGCGATGGATGAACCCTAATAATCCAAAACCCTAGACCATTTGTTATTTTACGTTCTTATGAGAATGACTCGGTTTCACAAAGTAAACCTTAAATTATAAGGTGAAAGTGGTTTAGATATACATTTTAGATAACCAAAAAGTGAACCTGATACTGATCGAGATAAGATAAAACCAATGTAAGACAAACTGAACCCAACAAACACCAAAATCCTATAAACTGATGCATATATAATATATTTTATTTTACATCCGTTATTATTTTTCTAAACTGGAAAAGCCTGAACCGCGTATAAAAAACAAATGAATGAAGTTTGCTTCTCGTAAAAAAAAAACAAAGATTCATCTCCTGTCTTGTTGGCCACATCCCACATATAAAGGAGACGTAGAGAAGGACGTAACAAAAAGGTGTAAAAGTCTAGAATATCACACTACTAGAAACAGAGGACTATAAGAAAAGAAAAAAACAGAGGAGCTTAATAAAAACTACAAGAAGATAAATAGCATTTTACTTATGATATTTTTTGTTCCACTCAAAATCATAGTGATATAATGATTCCTTGAGAAGCTTAGAAAATGATTCACTAAGCAAAGTTCTTCCTTATCACAAGCTCATTGGATTTCTAAGGAGACACGACAGAGAATTATTGTGAACACAGGAACTACCAAATAAAATACAAAAACTGTAAACTTATAGTATGTGCCGGTGTCTCAAAGAGATAAGATGTGTTTAAGACTGCATGTGTGACAGACAACACATTCCTAAATGACAAATTCTTGCATTCTTGTTTTTGTTGATTTTTGTGGGAATTGAGTTATACTTGCAAAGCATTGAAACTCAAATAACAAAATGACTGAAAATATGATTTAAAAAAAAAAAAAAAAAAAGAGTAGTCAAAAGTTTTAAATCTCCATTCTATTTGAGTGGAGAAGACAAGCTGAAACGATATTTTTTTCTGTTGAACACAAGCTTGAACATAATTGAAGCTCTAGGCGTATATTTTATCTACTGCACCATCATTCTTTTCTTTGCCTTATTGGAGAACTGGAATTTCCTCAAGCTAAGTTTGGCTTTCTTTAAACACTTTGAGTTCGTTAAAATGTATATCACCAGCAGCGGCTTCCCACCGCGCATGCAATGTTGTTTCAAATAGAAGTTGAACTCAGGAAAGAGTGAACCATGGCTTTGAAACACTCCCACCAGACCGCATACCCGCTGACTATCCATTACTATTATGCTCAATTTAACTATACCGTCCATTTGTTCTGCATGTTAAATCCACATGATATTGAAACTCAAGAGGACTAGGTTCTTGTCGATGTGTTACTTACTTACTTTCATGTTTCAGGGTTTAATGCGTTGCATTCTTCATTATACTGTATCTTTGGATCTCATAAACATGCTGGCTAATTTGAACCGAACAAAAAACAATGTGAATCAATTTATTTCATAACAAAAATCAGACTGATTTACTATTTCAATAACCAAATTGAACCAAAAATACCAAAATTTTAATTACATTGTGAAATAAATCATATATATTTTATAAATTCTAATTACTCTACATTTTTTTTTAATTTAGTAATCTTGCTCCTTTTTTGGATTAATTTTGGTTTGGTAGTCTTGCTTCTAAAAATCGTTCCAAAAATCAAACCGGTCTTTAATTGAACCGAAATCAATATAATTAAACACCATTGAGAAACCTACAAATTTCGTCAATTTTAATTACAATTTTTTTATAATTTTAGTTACATTGTATAATAAATCATATATATATTATAAATTCTAACTACTCTACATTTTTATAATTTAGTAATTAGTAATCTTGCTCTTTTTTTTTTTAATGATTAATTTTGGTTTGGTAGAAGATCGTTCCAAAATCAAACCGGCCTTTTTTTTTTTTTTTGTAAACGATCAAACCGGCCTTTAATTGAACCGAAACCAACATAATTAAACACCCATTGAAATACCGAGTTCTCTTTGCTTCTTCTCGCACAACTTCACAGACAGAGAAAACCTACAGATTTCGTCACGGAAGCAACAATTTGGCTATAAAATCGTAAGTTTCTGCTACATTCTTCATGGGTTTCGAAGCAATCGTTGTTATCCACCAGAAATTTCCGCTATACTACGGATTCTTAGGGTCTAGCTAGGTGAATTGATTTAAACCCAAAAGCGAACAAACCAGTTTCTTTACGATTCTGACTCAAATCAGTTCAAGAATCGTTCTTTTCTCTATCGCTGAACTTGTCTAGACTGTATCATAGGGTTAGTTTTGTGGGTTTCTTCTTCCTACTGATTCAATGTTTGCTTATGGTTGTGTTCTTTAGTTCTTGATACAATTAAGCTACCCAGAACTTTAACTTTGTTTCGTATTCTCATTTGTTTTGCAGGAACCAGAGCCATTTGTGACAAATTGTGTAATCTAAATGGTTAGTTATAGGGATAGG